ATTTAAGCTGAGATGGAAGAAATGCAGCCAGCAGCACCTATTGTTCAGGCCCTGCAGGCAATAATACAAACACCAGCGTGGACCAACCCTCCTTTTAAGGGAGCAGTTTAAAAACAGACAAACAAACAAAAGCAGTGTTTGAGATGGAACCCAGGGCTTCTCAAGCCCTTTACTACAGGGTTATACCCCTGACCCTGCAATTTTTGTTTTTTAAATAAAAAGCTCCCAGAGCTCAGGGACCAGCACAAGGTTCAGGATGCTGTGCCTAACTGGGTTCTGCCAAGCACCTACTGGGTTTTTAGAAATCAGTAATAACAGCAATGATAATTCACCTTAATAACAGCCTGCCCCCCTCAGACCTCTTTCATCTGCGTAACTCCCAGAGCTGAGAAAAACGGTAATTACGGAGCAGAGCCACACCCCAATGATGATGTGTTATTAATTTAGGAGTTCTGCTGGGAAACTGAGGCCCGGGAGAAGGATCTTGCTCCAGTGGAGCCGAGCTGCTGGGCGGTTGGGAACTGGAGGTCCCGGCTGCACTCCTGCAGTTTTGGGAAGATGTTCTAGCGAACTGCATTCACTCCACAAATGGGTGGTGAAGACGGTGCAGACAGACCGGATACATGTCCAGGACGGGCGGGCAGCCCTGGCAGGGAATTAGGGACTTTGTCTTTGAGTCCCTGCTCTACTCTCCTGGAGTACAGGGAAGCAGGCCAATGGTTGCCTGAGCCATCCCTAGACAAGGGGTCACAGGATAAGAGAGGGCTGGAGTTCCATAATTGCACATCACAAACACAGTACAAGAAGAGGCAATGAAGTGTCAGGGGGTGGGGCAACTGGTAGCTGGGTGTGGGAACCTAAGCAAGAGCAAGTCAAAAAGTGAGGAGTCTAGTTCAGAACCTGGGTTCAATCCTTAGCACAGGAAAAAAAAAAGTCACTGAAAAACCCAAGCTTCTCGTTGTAGCGCCCACCCACCTTTGGGATGGTCTTCTTCTCACAGCAAGTGGGACGTTGCAGAGGGTGCCCCTGCCAGCCTGACACTCAAGGGGGTGGGTGGAAACCCACAGCAGAGCTTTCCAACTTGTATCCAAGGAGGGAAGCAGCGAAAAGTCGAACTAAGATAGCGATAAGATTCCACAGCTATGCTCATAGCCTGCTGTGAGCCTAGCACCAAGCTGAGGCTGGAAACAAAAGCAACTCACGGGGAACCAGAACCATGGCAGGAAGCCATCCATGATCTTGTCTTCTGCTGCTCCAGTGTTTCTCCAATCAGTCAGAAAGCTGCCCAAAGCACTCGAGGAAGCCTAGGCTAACACTCTAAATTGTTGAGTTCAAGAACTGGCTTTCTTTGATTTAAGCATGAATGAGAGACTATGGCAGAAAACCATGTAAACCAGAGGCCTGAGGTTTGAATCCCACCTCGGGCACTCACTGCCCCATGAATCACTTCCTCTCTGCCAGTCTCCCCGTTTGGGGTGGGGGTGTTGAGACAGGGTCTTACTATGCAGCCCTGGATATCCTGGAACTCATGGTAGTCCAGGCTGGCCTCGAACTCACAGAGTTCCGCCTGCCTCTGCCTCCCGAGTGCTGGGATTAAAGGTCATGGGCCACCATACCCAGCTCTGTTTCCCCATTTTGAATTTGAAGGTGGGCCTCAGATTAGATTTTTCTCTCGGATTCCTTCCAGCCTGTGGAGGCTCGACATTGTTTTGATGTGGTGGCAGATCTCAGGTTGATTTACATAAATTTGCATGTTCAATCAAAAAACTCCAAACTCCCAAGTATAGAAAATCCAATCGCTCTATTAGCGCAGCCAGACAGGCTGGAGGGGCTGCCAGGTTCAGGAGAGCGTTGTCAAAGCAGAGAGTGATAGGGGTTTGGGGGAGGGGCTGAGGGAAGCAGGAGTGAAAAAGGGCACCTGTTCTGAGAGAGAGAGAGAGAGAGAGAGAGAGAGAGAGAGAGAGAGAGAGAGGAGAGGGGGGGGGGGAGGTTGGGCAGTGCCAGCGAGTGCCCTGGTGACTCAGGTCTGCACACCAGGGCCCCTCACCCCTCACTCAGGCTGTTGTCCTTTCCCCTCCACAGGGCCCCGGGCTGACCCGCCTCACAGCCATTCTGCCATTCCTCAAGATGGGATTGCCGCTTCTGCCTAGCAACAGCTGCATCCTTCAGTCTGATAGGAACTCCACCAGTGACAGCTTCTGGGAAAGTGACCTCCCTGGGAGTTCCCATTACCCACTTCAAGGGCTACGCGCAACCTACAAGCCTTCAATAGAAGCTCACTCACCTAGGGTAGCGGGGCCGAGGCTAGAGGGCTCCCCAGGCCCAGGGCAGGGGACAGAGTACACACAATGCAGGAGACTGTGCCTCACAGCCCGGGGCCTCTTTAAGCACCACAATCTCCAACAATATTCCCCATCACCTGGGAGACCAAGGATGAAAATAAACAAGAACATGAAGAAGCTCGTGGCTCATGGGCTGGAAAGCGAGTCCTAACCTGGAGTTCCAGCGTCCTGAGAGCCTACCTCAAAGAGGTAAGGGGGCTGGGAAAAACAGGGCTGTGGCCGAGTCTCCTTGCTGCCTGGGAGCTGGGCTGAGCACAGAGGAGCAGTGTGTAGAGCCAGCAGGTAGGATGGGCAGCAGCAGTGGGGCCCTCCTTACCCTCTTCCCACAAGAGGGTGGATGAATGTGCTGGGCTCCCTGGCTCAGATCCTAAGACAAGTCCCAACAACTGAGATGCAAACTGTCTCCTGGGAATCTGCCTACCCCGCTGGCCCTTGGCTGCCTCCTCCTCTCCCTCAACCCCTCCCCAAAGATCCAACCCAAAGCCTGGCCCAGCCTGGCCCAGTCATGGTGTCTCACCTTGATGGGTGGGCCGAACCTGAGCCAGCAGGAGTTCATATCCCAAGGCGGCAGGGTAAGCAGAAAAGCACTATTTACAGGCAGAACAGGGTTCTGTTCTCTCAATCCTAAAGTCCAATCCTGACACACTGTGGCCAAGCATTTTAGCTCTCTTAATGGAGTCACCCTGATGGAGCGCCTCTCTCCCCTCTCCAGGGATTTTTAGATCTTTCTGGTCCTACTGCTGAGTTCCAAAGCTGAAGGAAACTGAGCCCCAGAGAAGCAAACTATCTTGCTCAAGGTCAGAGCAGGCTGGAAGCGCAAGGCCAAAGCTCCTAACTCCAGCCATCTTGACAGCAACCCAGTGCCCACACACAAACCTTCTCTCCTTTCTTCTTTGCAGCCTGGGCCAGCAGCTCCCTGTCTAAGGCTGGAGCTGGTGGAAGATACTATAAAGTCAAAGACACCTTACGTACAGACCACAGGTGCTGGAAGCAAAACCAAACAATCTCTGTGAGGATCCCTCTCTTGACAAAAACGCTCCTGGTTTCTCTGGAGCAAGAAACCCCATTCATCTCACACTGGGCTTGGGGTTCAAAATCTGAGAGCCAGGCTCTCAGGTCAGAACTGGGGGGAGTTGTCTGTAAGATGAAAGAGGGTCTACAACAAAGCAATTGTGCAATGCTCACTTCCCTTCAAAGGACCGGGCACACAATGGTTAGACAGATTCTTTCTCCATGGTTCCTCAAACCAGTTCTGGTCCCAGGCCTCTGTCTCCAACCACTTCCTCTGGCTGACAATTGTGTAGAAGCAGACACGCTGGAGAAGGGAAGAGCGAGTTCGTGGACAGGGGAATAAGAGATTGCCTTTAAAGCTAAGGAAGCCCTCAAGCCTAAGACCACTGGCTCCTAAGGAGGATCTTAAAAAAGCAACTGCTGGGCAGACTGGGTGGCTGAGCCCTTTGGAAAGCCAGACCTATCCCCATAGGTGAAGGCCTTCTGCGCCCTTGGGACAGCGCCAAGGCTAGGGAGACAAGAGGGGCCTTCCGCCCTGGATGTAAAGAGCGAGTTGGGGTCCCAAGAGCCGCTTTCCTGGGCCTGCTAAACCAAGGGAATATCAGGCACTGACAAATTCTCCGCATTTTTTAGCACCCCAGCCAAAACCCTGAAAGCCTTTTCTGTTGGGGCTGTCCTGTCCCTACTCCAGCCCAGCCATTCTCCTCTATCAGCCTCTATTCAGCAGGCAGATTGTCGGGTTCCCTCCATCCCATAACCCCTCAGAGCTTCAGTAGGGTTGTTCCCAAGAAGACCCGGTCACTCCGCCTTTCCCCGCCTCCCCCACGCCCTACAGCCCCGGGCCACGGGGACTGGAAGGAGTACGGAGGGGTGCCCCAGGCTCCAGCCTGCGCCTGCGCTTCGGGGGGAGAGCCCCCTCCCTCTGCAACCCAGCACCGCTAAACAGTACCGGGACCGTGGGATGCCGGCCGGGTGGGATGCGCAGTGGGGGCAAGGTCAGTGCTTTCAAAGAGGGAGGGAGACCCACCACCGGAACATCCCCCACTCCCGAAAGTTTCCCTTCCGGGGCCACCGAGTGTGCGCGAGGATGGCGCTAGGGGCGGGAGGGGGTAGGGTGGGGGTGGACAAAGTCACAACAGGACCCCTCCTGGGAGAGTGCGGCGGGAGGGACTGGCAGGCGACGAGGTGTGGGCCGGAAGCCTCGCTGCTCCTTCAAGCCTAAACTGCCACGAGAGCCTTTCACTCCCCACTCCGCGGCCCCCGCCCAGGGCGTACGGCCCCCCACCTCACAGCCCGTTAAATGCCAAACAGGCCTGAACTCACCGAGATCAAGTGCTGAGCTGGGCAGGCCTGGTCCTCCGGGTCCATGGCCGCATCTCGGGTGGGGGGGCAGAGAAAGGGGGGTACCGGAGCCGCCTCTTGATGTCAAGGCTTTAAAGGGGCCAACGAGCCCCGCCCCTCGCCTAAGCCCCGCCTCCCTCCTCCTGCGCAGCCAATCCAAGCTCAGCCTGGATGCGCGCCCCTCCCAGCTCTGTCCAGATGTTCCCAGGACGAGAGCTAAGTCTGCCCGGCCGGCGCGCGCCGCTTCCGCCCGCCCGCGCGGGTGGGAAGGGCCTCCCCTCCCCCTCTGCGGAGAAACAGTCCTCGCCGGGCGGGAGCTGACCTGCCAAACCTTCCCAGGGCCGGGGTTGGGGATGACAGGCTTGGCCGAGTGGGGCTGAAAAGGAGGCATTTAGAACAGAGAGAACTAAGTAGGTTCCCGCGGGCCCACGGGCATGCGCGTCTGCTTCTGTGGGTCTGGGCGTGCACGTGTATGTGGTTGAGAGCGTGTTTGTAATTTGCCTTCCTGCTTACGTGTTGGGTGTAAATCTATGGGAAGAATCCTGAGTGTCTCCTTGGCCTTAAATGCTCCCGTCGCTCCCTTCTCTAGGTCAGGGTCTTCCTAGATACCCAGAAACTGGGTGAGGAACAGTCAGCATTTGTAGAAAGCAAGGCAGACCTGGGTATGATTGCTCATGCTTTTTAATCCTCACACTCGCGACGCAAAGGCGGACAGATCTCTAGTGCAGAAAAGGATAGGGCCTTGATTTTTAGCCACTTCCTACCGGGGAAGAGGGAAGTGCAGTTCAAACTGTTGGAGTAGCTAATTAACTCACTCAGGCCTTTGCGTCCTAAGAGCTCAGTACCATTCTCACTGGTCTATTTGTTACGTTGTTGAGACAGGGTCTCTATATAACCCTAGCTAACCAAGAACCCATAATACAGGCCAGGCTGACCCCAAACTTCCCGTGATCCTATAGTTTCTGCCACTATTTTGGTCCTGAACAGCTTTCTTTTTATTCTGTGAATAATTTATAGCCTTCACAACCTGCCCTGTACTGACTGGCCTGGATGTGCAGGTTCTGAACTATATCGCACATTGGACACAATGTATATTTTACTAAAATTGCTTCTGTTGTAGGTGTACAGGATTAGCCTTAAAGTGGAATGAGTCCAGTAAAGGAACATAAACCATAAGGGAACATAAGGTGGTCTGGTTGGCTGGGATTAATCTAAGAGTTCCTCTCTGAAGAAGGCCTCTTACTTAAAGTGGGATTCTGAAGACAGAGACCTGGAGCAAGGTCTAGACAGGACAAGAGAGAGGTAAAAAGCTATTACTGGCCTGGGATAGCAAGTGAATGGGTAGGGAGTGGGGAGAGTTAATGCAAGAAGTTTTGTATAGAAAACAGAATGAACCTATGGATAAAGGAGTTGTTTTGGACTTAAAAACAGAAAGAAACAAACAAACAAGGGTCTCACTGTGTAACCTAGGCTGACTTCAAGCACTCTGTCTCCTGGGTATTAGGACTGCAGGTGTGCCACCATGCCACCATGTCACCATGCCCAGAGGTTTACACACATCAGGCAAGCACTCTATCATGGAGCCAAATTCATGGCCTTCCATTCCCTTTGCGTCATATTTCTTGATGCTCAATTATGGTATTTTTGAAATACTACAGGACTGATTAATCCTTGCTCAATCACCCAATGTTTATTGAACAGGGATCAATGGACTAATCCTGGAGAATAACAAAAATTAGACGCAGTTCTTCCTTCAACGGGCTTTTTTTTTGTGGGGGGGGGGGTTCAAGACAGGGTTTCTCTGTGGTTTTGGAGCCTGTCCTGGAACTAGCTCTTGTAGACCAGGCTGGTCTCGAACTCACAGAGATCCGCCTGCCCTCAACAGGCTTTAAAGTCCAATAGGAATGATGTGTCTGTTGCATTCCTGTGCCTTGGGATGGGAATCTTGAGTCTGCCAGGCATTTTCTAACGGTTTTTGAATGTTTGTAAGTGACTGAATTTTTGGAGGCAAACAACATCTAGATTTTAAAACTTTGAGTATTTACCCTTATTTAATAAACACAGGCAAAACATTTGCATGTCCTCACCACCCTTACAGGCTCTCACACACCTGATATTTGGGCTATCAGATTTTGGCAAACTTTATTCATCCTTAGAGACAAGATGTGAAACTGTAGCAATGTTCCATCATTATTTTCTTTAATGAGGCTTACTAAATTTTGATTCAGTTTTATCAATCAGTTTATTAAAACTTTGAAGTCCCAAAGTTGATTCTCCATTGTTATTATGCATCACCAATCACCTCCTGTCCTTGTTTGTAATAAGACAAGCTAGACTTCTTGGGTGTCTGGCGCTGCGGGCTGCTGCAGGCTGCTGTTTACAAACCCGTGTGCTGGTGTAGCATAACTATGTGTATAGCAATGGTGACCTCGGAGAGCCACGCCCTCTCTACTCATGCCAGCATTTCAACTGCACACTCTCGCTGTTTTTCAAAGATTTATTTACTTTTTGAGAATGGGTGTTTTGCCTGCATAGAAATCTGTGCACCAGTTGAGTGCTTGGTGCCCACAGAAGTCAGACGAGGACATCAGACCCCCTAGAACTGAATTATGGATGATTGTGGGCCACCTTGTGAGGGGTGAGACTTAACCCTGGTCCTCTGCAAGAAGAAGTGCTCATAAGCAATGAGCTGTCTTCCCATAGTTCTGCTTTAATACTGTGTGGTCAGCCATCAGTGGTTGACATAGTCACCTTACTGTTGTTGATAAGAGGACCCAGATTTGGAACTCCTGGCATTAAGATGTGGTCCGGTTGCTAACTGGCTCTTAGAACACCCTCCCCTACCTATTCTTCAAGTTGGATCACTCCAGGACACAGTCTAGATGTTACTACTGCCTAGTGAGAGGAAGACAGGAGCTGGCTAGTGTTTGGTCCATTTTCTCAGTAAGAGTAAGTCATTGCCAATATACTTTGAAACCTCTCACCTGCAAGATATGATGGATCTGCTCATATCCTTGAACTTCTCTTTTTGAGTTGAACCCTGTGATCCAGGCCTATAGTTGTAGCTACTTGGGAAGATCACAAGTTCAAATCCTGCCTGAGCTACAGAGTGATTTCAAAGGCCAGTCTAGGCAACTAAATGGGACCCCATCTCAGAATAAAAGGTAATTAAAGGGCTGGGCTATGTCTCTTGTTGTTGGTTCTGGGGCTGACTCAGGTTGTCGGGCTTGGTGGCAAGTGCCTTTACCTGCTAAGTTCTTGTCTGCCCTGGTTTGTTTGTTTTCGACATTGAATCTTGTTTTGTAGCTCGGTGGCCTAGCCTTGGACTCTTGAGTGTTAGATTACCAGCGTGAGCTGGTAGTCTTGTGTTGTCTACCCAGCTTGGTATTTTGGAACAGGATCTTACTATGTAGTCTTGGTTGACCTGGAACTCTATATGTAGACGAGGCTAGCGTCAAACTCACTGAAATCTACCAGCCTTTGCTTCCCACGTACATGGGACACTAGTTGTTGCAACCTTGTTATTTTTAATTTTAAAATGTGTGTCCATGTGTGAGGGTGGGCCTGCAGACACCGTGCCATGGCAGTGCATGTGGAGCTCGGAGGACAAATTTAAGGAGTTCCTTCTGGACTTCCACTCTGTTGAGACAGGATGGCTCTTGATTCATCTGCTCCCATCCCACCTTGCTGCCTAAGTCGTGGGAACACGTGAAACTTTTCTTACATGGGTCCCAGTGACTGAACTCAGTAGTTGGGCTTGCAGGGCTTGTGCTTTCTACAGCTGAGCCATCTCTCCCGCCCTCCCACGCCCTCATCTTGGTTTTTAAGACAGGGTCCCATTATCTAAGCAGAGCTCGCCAGGTGGACTAGGTCGGCCGGCCAACAAGCCCCAGAGATCTCCAGGTCTCTTCTTCTCCATCACCGAGATTACAAGTGTGTCATCACTGACTTTTGTAGGGGGTTCTGAAGATCAAACTCAGCCTCTCCTAGCTTGCATGGCAAGCAGTTTACTGGGCTGTCTCCCAGGTAGATATTTTCCCTTTACTATTCCATGGTTTGCTTTCAATTATCCACTCATGTCAAGTAACTGTAATGTTTTAACATTACATATATACCTTTGCATGTGTATATATCCACAGGATAACTTCTTCACAATGTAATTTCTAAGTATAGTATACATTTTGATAAACATTGGACAACTGCCTTCCCTAACTACCATGTCAACTTACGTTCCAACTAATGGTACACAATACAATCTATTTTCTCAGCTTTATGCAAATGAATGTTTTGCTTATGAGTGCACCACACACATACCTGGTGCTCATGGAGGTCAGAAGAGGGCCTCAAATCTCCAGGGCTAGAGTTACAGGCAGTGTGAGCTGCCATGTGGGTGCTGGGAATGACCCCAGGTCCTCTAGAAGAGCATCCAGTGCTCTTAAGTCAACAACAAAACCCAGAAGCCTGTCAGTACTGCACTAATCAGATTTTTAGTCAAGTGTTAAGTTCTTATCTGCTCCCCTGCCCCCCCCCCCAATTCTATGTAGTTCCAGCTGTCCTGGAGTTTGATATGTAAAATAAACTGGCCTGGAACTCACAGAGTTCCATCTGCGTGTGCCACCATGCCCAGCCTGCCATTATTTTCTGTGAATGTCATTTTCTGAGATTCACAAATTGTGTATGAGATTAGTCTTTTGTCAGATACATTAGAAATAATTTTCTTAGTTGGTGTTCATGACACTTTATTTTCCCCTCTTTTAGTCAAATGCCCGTGGCTCCTGAGTATTTTGTTATGTGTGGAAAGTATTCCAATATTGCATTGCTCTATGCCGACACCTGCCTGTCACCAGCCCATTCTGTCCTTGCTCTGGCCACAGGGTCCCTTATGTCAGGTTCACAGGGACTGCTCCTGGCATCATTCCACACCCTCTCACTGACAGCTGTCTCTCTTCTGTGTCTCCAGTGCCCACTGCAGCTATAGACGCCCTTCCCTGAAGCTCCACGCTCACATTAGCTGCTGTAGACATCTTCTGGTCAAGCTGAATTTGTAAAACAGGCTGAATTTAACCTTGGAAGTCCAGGGCTGTTTAGTCTGCTTCCCGGCACTATCCCGCAGCAGCTAAGGGCATGAGAGGCAGATGGAAGGACCTGGACATGGAACCTCCTCATTTGCCACAAAAGTACGTGAACTAGCCACATGCTAATGCGCATCTGAAATATGGCTGACCCAAATGGAGATGAACTTCATAGGTATTTAAATGCCAGAACTGGAAGCATCAGTGTAAGGGATGGTTGGTGGGTCCCACTCTGCTGCTAACTGAATGGAAACACTTTGTAGATATTTGATTACGTATCTAAATTTGTTTGTGTTTGTTTTTCAAGACACAGTTTCTCTGTGTAATAGCCCTGGCTGGCCTCGAACTCAGAGATTCGCCTGCCTCTGCCTCTCGAGTGCTGGGATTAAAGGCATGCGCCACCATCACCCAGTTTGATTACATATGTAAAATTTTTTTGGATACGGGATCTTTGTCACATAGTGTAAGTCGGCCTGGAGCTCTGTTCTCAAACTCAGCCCGAGTGCGGAGACTGTACTGGAGTGCCCCTACACCCAGCTTGTGTCTTTTTTAAAGTGCTGAGGTTTATTCAGCTCATTCTCTATTCACGTCTGTCCCGAGGCCTGAAAGGGCTCAGCCGACTTGGTGCCATGCCTCAGACACACTGGTTTGATATAAAGATGATCTCTTCTCAGAGAAAAGGCATTTTCATGGTCTTCACAGCTCAGAGGCGATTAAGCAGCCATTGTTTGCATGGCCTCATCTTTATGAGCACTAATTACACATGTTCTTCTAGAAGTATAGCGGTTTCTCTGACTGATCAAGCAACTACTTGTCCTGTAGCGTGTCCCTAGTGAGCAGGCAGCCTGCACCCGCAGGCATTCATGGCTGACATGTGCTCACTTTGACTGTGGAGATGGAGCCCCTCCATATCCTTTGCTCTCTGAGCTCGTTCTCTGTCATCAAGTCGTTTGGGACAGCTGGGCATGGTGGCACACACCTTTATTCCCAGCAGATGTAGACCTATCTCTGTGGGCTGGAGGCCAGCCTGGTCTAGAGTGAGTTCCAGGACAGCCAGGGCTGCAAAACCAAGAATGAAACAAGTTATTTGGGCCAGGTTCTGAGGCCTTCAAAGCCAGTCCCACGGAAAGAAGCTCCTGTGTTCGTGCCGTTCATTGCTGTGACAAGTTTAGAGGCTTGAAACCTATGCTTATTCTAGAAATCTCAGATTAAGGTCTCAGCAGGCCGTGTATCTTCTAGGGAATAAAGGAAGACTGTACCCCCTTGCTGCTCTGACTTCTGGAAGCTACCTGCATCCTTTGGCTTGTGGTCCTTCCTCAGTGCCACCCAGTCTGCTGTGGTTAAATCTCTGCTTTCCTCTTAAAGGGGAGCCCAGTTAACTTCCCTAGGTTAGGGTCCCTAATCACACCAGCAAGGCCCCTAGCGCGCTCTAACACTCACAGGCTCCCAGGACAGTATGTGGACATGCTGGGATCTAGTGTGACCCGACACAGTGACAGAATTCTTTGTACTGTCCTGGTGATGGGTGACAGAGCGTGCCCAGCAGAGCCGCATAGTAGAGTTAAGATATAGAGAGACGGCCGGGCGGTGGTGGCACTTGGAGGCAGAGGTAGGAGGATCTCTGAGTGCGAGGCCAGTCTGGTCTACAAGAGCTAGTTCCAGGACAGCTAGGACTGTTACATAGACAAACCCTGTCTCCAAAAAAAGATATACAGAGGAGGAAACTTAGCTGTCTCCAACTGCGACCATTCTGAGACCGCCCCAACCTAGCTTTGTTTCTGTTCTTCCATTCCCACTTCTCCACCATTTAAAACGTTCAGTGGCCTTCAATCAGAGCTCCTCATTTTACACTTCCTTCTCCTGAAAAACAAATAAGAGTCACATTTTCTGCCATTTTCCGTTGTAAGCCTCTGTTCCAACAAGCATAATTGTAGGCTGCAGCATATGATGGAGCAGAGCGACGTCACAAAGTAACAGCACCTTATTTTTGTTTAATACTTTATTCCGAAAAATTCCTTGATTCTTAGCTCACCTGAGTTCAGGAAAAGGAGAGCGCTATTTCTGGTGTGTGGGTATGGCTATGGCTGAAGGCAGGGCCCAGGACCCGCATCCTGCCTTCAGAAGGCAGGTGCTGCCGCATGGGTGCAGTGATTGGGGTAGACTACGGGCTGGACTACACCTATTTCAGCGTGGGGAGCAGACAGAAGCCAACTGGAGTCTCTCGTGTGTGCAATAAATGAGCGCCAAATGGGATTAGGTTGGAATAGGATTAGTTTGCTTTTGGGATCTTTTGAATCTGAGATGCCTAATAACTACTTTGGGGGATTATGATTACAAAACAGGACAGCATTAGTCTGGAGCCTTGGGGGTGGAGCTGCCATCAGGGGTAAGTTAAAGCATCAGGAAAGGAAGGCCTGTTAGCAGAAGGCTAGAGAGAATCCCAAGCCGTCAGTGGTCTCTCTTCACTTGTACCAGATCAAAGAGCCTGCTAAGAACAGAACCTTCACTGTGAATGTACTTAATGCCACAGAATTGTATGCTTAAAAATGGCCAGCTCCAGTTCCAGGGGATCTGCTTCCCTCTTCTGGTGGTTTTGGGCACTGCATGCACATGGTGCACAGACATACATGCAGACCAAACAAAATACACATACCATAAATAAATTAAAATGGCTACCATGACAAATATTGTCACATAAATTTTGCTGCAATAAAGAAATACAAGGCCGGGCATGACAATATAAGCCTTTTGTTGTTGTTTTTTCGAGACAGGGTTTCTCTGGAGCTTTGGAGCCTGTCCTGGAATTAGCTCTTGTAGACCAGGCTGGCCTCGAACTCACAGAAATCCACCTACCTCTGCCTTCCAAGTGCTGGGATTAAAGGTTTACGTTGTTGCCAGGTGGTGGTTCAAGGCCAGACTGGTCAATATAACAATATCCAAGACAACCAAGACTACCTAGAGATGCCTTTGGTCAAAAAACAAAACAAAAATTAAAACAAAATCAAACCAGGCTGGGATGGACTCAGTGGCAGAGTCTTGCCTGTGGGTACAAGGTCCCATGTTCGATCTGGTCCTGAAAACTAAAGAGAGACGGCAAAGGAAGAGGAAGAGAAAGCAAGATTGCTGAGCTGTATTGTAGAACCAAATCACAAATCACTACCTGTCTTAGGGTTCATAATTAAATTCTTTTTGTTGTTTTTTTGTGGGGGATGAGAAGGCTAGGGATCAAACCTTATAGGTACCGAGTAAACAGGTACAGTTAACTTTACCCTGAGCCCTAGACATCTGCTGTCATCACACTGGTTTTGCTTTTTTGAAGACAGGAGGGACTCATATAGGCCAGGCTGGCCTTAAAGCTGTCCTTGAACTCCTGATCCTCCTGCCCCTGCCTGTCAAGTGCTAGCTAGCATCTGCCACTCTACCCAGCTTCTAAGTATTTTTTAAAATGTTGTGTGTCTTTTAGTGCATAACTACTGCGTGAGGCTTGGCCTCTTCTAGAAAGATGAAATGCTTTCCCTCCTGACCACTCCCTGTAGCCAGTCCAGGGCCTCTCGCTGCAGATTTCATCACGAGGCTCTGTTTCAAGGCAGCCAAGCAAGTCCAGAAAAGGCTGGAGATCCAGGGTGGATTTAAGGAGTTCAAAGAAGTGGCAGTGTGCAACTCCGGAGATGGTTCAACACTGAAGAGCACTGACTGCTCTTCCAGAGGACCCAAGTTCAATTCCCAGCACTCACAGACCCGACACTCTCACACAGACATACATGCAGGCAAAATGCCAATGCACATAAAGTAAAAATAAGTAAACAGAAGAGAAGACACAGTCTACTAACCCGGTCTGACTTTTATAAACACCCCACAGAGCTGGGGGTGTAGCTTGGGGGTAGACTATGTGACTAGCACACACAAGACCCTAACTTTGGTCCCCAGCAAACAAGACAGCTTTCAAAGGCAGTTTCACTCCCCAGGACAATCTCCATCCAGACGCCTAGCTCACTGCTCTCTGAATTCATTCCCCTCAGGGGCTATCCAAACATCGGGAACACAGACACTCTTTCAGTTGCTTGCTTCAGACACTGCCAAAAGTTCCTGCCAGGTCTGGCGCTCCATTGCTCCAGGATGTGAATGCGATTCTCAGTATGAAAGCGTTACATTGTGTCCCTGGTGCTCTTCCTGCTTGCCCTCCTATTCCGAATTCCCATTTCTTCCTTTCTGTCTCTTTTGTCAGCGGTTCAGGGTTGATGAGTCTCCACGGTGTGCTTTGCTCTGAAGAGCAGAAGGCTTCGGTCCCAGCTGGTGTTGCCGAAGCAGCGCACTAATTCCATTGCATGGTCCTGCGTCAGGATCCGCACGATCTGACTGGCCATATCGCCTCGGATGGTGAGAGAGCTGAAGTGATCAAAGTTATGGAGTCCCAGCTTTCGGAGGCGCCTTGCAGCAGCCCGGTAACACTTCCAGGGCTGTGGCTCCACAAGGAGGTAGTGACAGAGAGAGGAGAGATGGGCCAGGAACTCCCACAGACCACGGTCCCCATGGTTCAGATGAATCCACATGGTTACTGACATGCAGAAGACAATGTCAAAAACAGAACGTCCAAACTGGCCTAAGAAAGAAGTCAAGGGAACCTTCCTGTTCCTTTGATCCATGATGTCCAGGGTGACAAAGGTCAAAGCATCGGGAAAAGGGCATGCTTTTTCGGCTCGCTCCACAAGGACTGGATCTATATCACAGCAGAGGAGGCGGAGGTCTCTGGAGGCACCTGAGCAGGGCTCCCCATCACGCAGGGAAAGGAAATGTTTGCACAGAGCCACACTCAGGTCCTAGAGGAATCCAAAAGAGTCTTGTCATTGCAGCTCTCAAACACTGAGCCAAAAAGATATCTCTCATCCTTTGAGACTGCCACTTAGCTCTTACTGTACCAACGTGAGGCTCTTAATCTAAAGAGGCTACGGGTTTTCAAGCGCAGACTCTCAGCGCCCTCCAGAGGCTGACGGCTGTAATGCACCTGCCCTAGATCCTACATTCTATTTTTTTTTTTTTTTGAGTCACTCTTAAGTGGTTCATGCTGACCTCAAACTCATTATGTAGCTGAGGATGGTCTCGAACTCCTGCTCCTCCTGAGTACTTGATTACCTGTGTGCACCATACCTGGCCACCTATATCCTGACACTTGTGTAGTTGGAAGTGTAGTCCAAATGACGTGACAAAGGTAGCGAAGAGCCCATGGCAGATGCATTTTCTTTTTCTGGGTGTCTCATATCCAAAGGCAAGGGATTCAGAAGTGTGAGTGGGGTCCCTTCTCTCTGGAAGGTGAGGACTACAGTAAGCATGACCTTGTGAAAACCTGTTTCTTAGATGTAGCTGGCAAGGTCCGGATTCTAGCAATCCAGCCTTCATTCCTACTGCCCGAGCTTTCACCACCTCAAGTCATTGTGAATGTTTCTAGCTGTGTCTCATGACATGATTCTTACCATCTTAGCAAACTTCTGACTCAAACGAGACACCAGCTCATTCCTCTGAAACTATTATAGTTACGGAGGCACTGTAACTAATTCAAACATCTTGTTTTATATAGTTTCTCCAAGGAGTTCCCTAGTCTTTTCACGCAGGTGAAGAACATGCAGAGGAAACCACGCAGAAGTCCACTAACGAGGCAAGTAAGAACATCATTAAGACGGAATAATAGCTGGCGGTGGCGCACGCCTTTAGTCCCAGCACCCAGGAGGCAGAGGCAGGCAGATCCCTGAGTTTGGGCCAGCCTGGTCTATACAGCTAGTTCCAGGACAGCCAGGGCTACACAGAGAAACCCTGTTTCAAAAAACCAAAGAGGGGAAAAAGAAAAAATATTAGTAACATTGTAAAGTTGAGGATCTTGGCTTAATACACCAAAATAGAGTATTTTTACCTCCACTACTGACTGAATTTTCAGTTCAGTGCTGCTGACTAGAAAGTCAAGCCACACTGAAAATACATGGCAAGTTTTCCTTTTTTGTTTTTTTGCAAACAAGTCTCACTATGTAGATGAGGCTGGTCTCCAACTGTGGCTCTCTTGCTCCAGTCTCTCAAGTGCTGGCATTACAGACATGTACCGACAGAGCAGACATGCAGGCTTCCTTTAAAAAAAAAATCCCAAAGTGGGAAAACTAAACTATATTAATTACGGACAGGAAAGGAGTAAGATAGAAACAAAAGCAAATAATAGGCTAGTTGTTCCCTGTGGGTGAAGAAGGGCTTTTATAAATAGGAAACGGCACATAAAGAACCTCTGGGGTAGATAATGCTTTATTTATTTATTTATTTATTTTTTTACTCTGACAGTGGCCATAAAGGTTGCCTTATAATCATAAAGTATAGATATGTTTGTGTACTATTATGAGGGTATAGAATAATTAACAAAAAACTCTGTATTTTAAAAATTATGGCTCAAGGAAGACTTAAGCTACACTGAGTTCCTTTTTCCACAGTAGACTTTCCTGACTTTTAAAAATCTACTTTTATGTATGTGTGTACACATGTGTCTTGGTGCTTACATATGCCATGTGCGCAAGTGCCCGGAGAGGCTGGAGGAGAACATTGGGTCCTCTGGAAGAGCGGCAAGCACCTGGTACTTGCTGTACCTCTAGCAAGTGCTCTGAAGGTGCTTCTTCTGGCCTTCCTACCTTTTTAAACGGTACCTAAGTCATCTATGGAGTCATCTTAAAACATAGATGCTGACTTAGCAGACACGGGAAAGGCCAAGAGCCTGCACTTCATATAAACATCAAAGAAGTCATGCTAACGCAGCTCAGAGTCATACCTGAAGGCACAAGAACCCACACTGCGCTGCTAAGCCTGCCTCCTTCCTTCAGTCTGACCCTGTGTGTTTGGTCAACACGCATCTAGGGCAGTGTAGCTACTACAGTGAGACCCTAGGTAAAATAAAAAAATAAATCGTATTTGGGAACAACTGCTTTAGCCCATCACTGCTGTGTCCCTTCTATTGTGTTTTTATGTAGGATGTTTTCAACTTTAAAATCTTCGGTGGGGGCTGGAGAGATGGCTCAGTGGTTAAGAGCATTGTCTGCTCTTCCAGAGGTCCTGAGTTCAATTCCCGGCAACCACATGGTGGCTCACAACCATCTGTAATGGGGTCTGGTGCCCTCTTCTGGCCTGCAGACATACACACAGACAGAATATTGTATGCATAATAAATAAATAAACAAATAAATAAATAAATAAATAAATCTTCAGTGGCTTCCGGGTTCCTTTTAGGAAGTCTTTTTCTGTTTTTTTCCCACATTCTAATGAAGCTGGCAAGGGACACAAAGCCCCATCTGCTTATATACGAAGCGACTCAGCTGAGCCCTCACGGTCTTCAACCATCTACCAACGTTTCTTTCTTTCTTTCTTTTTTTTAATGGTTTTTGGAAACAGCCTCACTGGCCAGGATCCCACCCTTATCTTTTGAGTGCTAGCATCACACCTGGGCCACACTCTTCTGCCACTCTGGAGTGATGGGCACGGGTCCTAACTTTGGCAATACTTGTAGTCGTGGGGTAAAACTGCCTGCTCCATTAAGACATCCGTGGCTACAAAGAGGTGAGATTGGCATTTCCTTGTTTTGCATGTGGTTTCGACTATAATCATTACACACCTTAGAACACTTTGCGGTGGGCAGGATGGTTAAGGCCTCCCTCCTCTGGCGGAAGGATCTGTTTTGTTCCTTGATCCTCTCTAGTGTTCACTGTTGCACTCTGTTAGCACAAGTTTAAGTAAATACATACCTGGCTCCAGGTCTGGCCTGCACTGGATATCTGGAGCCTTACATTTCAGACATGATTCTGTCTCCCTGGCTCTTTTCTTCTAGGAACCAGTGTTCCCAGATGTGGGCCCTGGTTCCCCAGCCAGGAGGCCAGCAAAGCAGGAGAGGAGGCAAGCGCCGGAAATCCAGATAAGCCGGTCCTCCTCCCCCACAGTCCGGCGGGAATTTGGAATGAATTTGGGGATTACTCAAAATTCCTAACTCGGTGGCGGGGGTGGGGTGGGGGGGGGGTGAACGGGGGCGGGAGGGGCAGCGGGAGAGCTGGGAAGTGCACGTGTCCGTCAACGCTAAACTTTAAAAGCCCGCTTCGGGCAAGTTCTGATGGCACGCCCAGGTCAGAACCACAGGGGACCTGGAGGCGACAATTGCTTGGCTCCCAGCGCTCCGATCCCTCCCGTGTCACTCACCCCGGAGTTACACCCCACGTCGAGCCCTAGGATCGGCCTCCTCTCGGGACCCTCGGGAGGGAAGAGCTGTCGAAGAAGCTCCCGGGGTAGAAGGCGGAGCCTTTGCTCGGGAGGGTGGAAGCGAGAATAATGAGGGAAATTTCCGAACGGGGCGGCTCCGGGTTTCAGAGCTCCCGGATTCTCAGTCTCCACAGCCTCTTCTGCTGCCAACTTCTCGGCCGCCAACTTCTCGGCCGCCGCCATCAGCCTCGGTCCCTCAGTCTGGGCGGAACCGGAAGCCCGGAACCTGCGGCGTGTGCGGGCGTGCGCCAGTGCGCGTGCGCTTAGGGGAGAGGTCAGGAGAATGACGGGCCGAGGTAGGGGAGAAAGACCCCAGAGTGTAGGGAGTTGGGGCTTGCGGCAGCCTACTGAAGGCCGGGATCATCCCTTCTTACTTAATAGAGTTGCCAAAATTGAGGCCAACTGACCAAAACAAGAAGTTTTGGGGGTCTTGGAAATCAAGTTGGTCCAATTCCCTTTTGTTTCAAATGCACAAAGCAAGACCCAAAGGAGAGTCTGGGGTAGGGTGGGGAGTATGTGTTTGGCTTGTGACGGGAGTCACCCGGTGAGCCTGTGACACAGGAACTTGAACCTGGTTTAGTAAAAGGTAGCTGGGAGCTGTAGATCACTGCAGTGCCAGGAGACCTGGTGGCCCTGCCGGTCCTTCCTGAGGGACAGGCAGACATAACAACTGTAGACTGTCCTCCGAAGGATGGCCTTGCAGCACTGATATATTTCAGCCTTGAATCTCCTATACTTTCCGTAAACGCTGGTGCAGAGATGGTCGATAGATTTTTGTAGGATGAAAACTGCCGGATGCAAAACAGTACCCACACAGTATCCATCTAGGGGAAAATAAAGTGGCCGGGAGAAAGGAGTTACGTTAAAGAACTGTGATGACATGGAGTCAGACAAAAAGTGGGTGGAGGGCTGGAGAGACAGTTCAGTCAGCAAATGCTTGCTCTGTAAGCGTGTGGACCTGGGTTCAGATCCCCAACACCCACATACTAAGCTGCTATTGGTGCATGCCTGTAATCCCAGAGCTGGGAGCGCAGAGACTAGTGGATCCCTGGGGTTTGCGGGCTAGCCAGTCTAGCCCACTTGGTAAGCTCCAGTTCACTGAGCGATTCTGTCTCAAAAGATAAGGTGGGACGATCACAGAAGACGCCCTACGGCAACCTCTGGTCTCCACACACATGTACACACATGTAAGAAACAGTAATACTTCAGAAGATTTAAATGTGGTCTAAAGCAGAGGTTAGGGATGGGGAAAGCTGGCGAGGGGAAAGACTGAGGAGTCATCATCGGTCTTAGTCACTGCTCTGTTGCTGTGGAGAGACACATGACCACAGCAACTCCTAGATTAAACAAAAAGCATTTAATTAGACACTTGCTACAGTTTAGAGGGTTAGTCTATTATCTTCATGGTGGAGGTATGCAGGCAGGCACCGCAACCGTAGCTGAGGGCCACATCCTGATCCACAGGCAAAGAAAGAAACCTCTAAGCCCACCCCCAGTGACACACTTTCTCCAACAAGGCCACACCTAATCCTTCTAACCCGTTCAAAGAGTTCCCCTCCCTGGTGATTAAGCTTTCAAATATATGAGCCTATGGGGGATGTTCTTATTCAAACCACCCCAAAGCCTAAGCAGCAAGTTCAAGTTAGGAGTGAGGATGGCCCAGCATATCGGACAGAGTCAACCAGTGGAGCTGTGTTCTGACCAGTCTGTCTTAAGACCTTCCACTCTATTAGGCCAAAGATTTGCTAAACTTCTAAGAGATGTCTACAGAAGTGCCAACAGCATTCAAATAGGTCTCTAGGGACACCCCACCCCTGGGAACAAATATGTTTTCTTTTGTTTTTGTTTTACTTTTTTTGTTATTTTGGTTTTTTTTTTTTTTTTTTTTTTTTTTTGAGACAGGGCTTCCCTGTGTAACAGCTCTGGTTGTCCTGGATTTTGCTCTGTAGACCAGGCTGGACTTGAACTCACAGAGATTCACCTATCTCTGCCTTCCAAGTGCTGGGGTTAAAGGCATGTGCCACCACTGCCTGGCTGCATGCTTTTTTTTTGTTTAAAAATTTTTTTTGACCAAGTCTCATGGTGTAGTCTAGGTTGGTCTTGAATTTGTTATATAGCAGAGGCTGACCTTGAACTTCTGACCCTCCTGCTTTTCCACCTCCCACATGCTAGGATTATAATAAGCCACCATGTCCAGCTGAGGTCCTATTTATTTTTCCCAGTTTTTACTTTGTACTTCCATCTCTGCCTGGTTTCCTATTTCACTCTTTTAAGACTCAAAGCCACAAAGTAATGACCAAGCTTCACAGCGGAATTGAAGTAAAGTGCAGTATTTTGCACCACTTCCAGAAAAATTTAGGGAGAAAGCCATCAGTGTTCTCTCTGTCCTAGACAAGAGTGGTTTGCTTTTTTGGGGGTAGGGTCTTGTTCTATCTTCCAGTCAGTCCTGAGCTCACTCTGTTGCCCATTCTAGCTCTGAGCAACCCTTCCTCTTGTGTGGGCACCACATCCTGCGCTGGACAGGTCTTTGGTAAACTGAGTTAGCCCTGTTCTGTCACTAGATGTCACTGTTACAAACTCTTAACCCTCAATTCTTCAGGTGCCTGAGTCACCTTCCCTACACACTTTTTGTTTGTGTCTTCAAGCACTTTGTGGAGGTGCTGGCTGGCCTTTGTTTTTGTCAGTAAGGATTTAATTTCACTAGGAGGTGAGCACATCTTCGCGTTCTCAGAGCACTGTTGGCCAGGAGATAAATGGGCATCAGGCAGGTGAAGGGCAGGGCTGTAGATAGGCTTTTCTTTCCGGCTGCCAGTTCTCAAAGAACTCACACAGAGTTGTATAAGTTAACTCGATTCGGGAAATAACCAGGCCAGCTTAAAGATAAACAGTTATATTTTTACTTATTATAAGGGGAAACTCATGTCACAAGAATAGGAAGTCCAAGTCCTGCTGTGTCCCACAGGAATCACCCAGAGAGAGCGAGCACCTGGTCTATCCCAGTTTCTCTTCCTGGGTTCCAGGTAGCCACGGTTTAACTAGGTTCTACTTCTTAAAGATGATTGGTTAACAAAGCTTCCCCCATCACAGAGTCTTGATATGAATTATAAATGCTCAACCAATAGCTCAGGCTAACTCTTTATTTCTTATCTATGCTTTGCCACAGGCTTGGTACCTTTTCTCAGTAAGGCATGCCCGTCTTGCTTCCCTCTGCATCTGCTGGCGACTCCTCAGCTCGCCCTTCTTCCTCCCAGCATTCTCTGTTTGGCTCTCCCGCCTAACCTTATCCTATTCGGTTACTGGCCAGTCAGCTTCTTTATTCAACCAATCACAGCAACATATATTCATACAGTGTAAAATAATATTCCACACAGGGTCTTCCAGAAGGAGAGACGGATGTTGGTCTGATGATGCTACCTGTGACCTAATGCTTTAGGGGTTCCCTATAACAAGACATTTAATTTGACCCATTCTGCTAACTTTATTTTTAATGTATGAATTGTGTGGAGTCTGACCAGCCCAGGTTTCTGGTCCTGCTGTATGAAGAACCAGTCTTAGACAGTTGTAGCAACTCCTGGGAGTTGTTCTGAACTTTGGTCAGCTAGATTTGTGGCATCTGATTTATGCCTTAGGCAATTCTCTAGGTCAGGGGTCAGGACTAATGACAGAGGATGCGTCCTCGATGAGAAAAACAAACACAAACCACAAAGTTATAAACATCAAACCATAGAAGAGTAAACTTATGTATAATAAGTTTAAACATTAGCATTTATCAAAAACATCATAAAAAATTCCTATTATAGTTGGAGCAATGGTTGCATTAGAATGTTAACCCCCAAATTTTGCTGAATCCTATTTGATACGTGTGTGTGTGTGTGTGTGTGTGTAGGCTGTAGGTTGATGTTAGTGTGCTATCCACCTTATTTTTTTTTAAAGATTATTATTCTAAACATTTACTCACTTGATATCTGAGTATATGTATGTGTACTATATGCATGCAGTGCCTTTGGAGGCCAGCAGAGGGCATTAGATCTCCTAGAACAGGATTTATAGGTTGCTATGAGCTGCTTGATGTGGGTGTTAGGAACCAAACCTTGGTCATTTACAAGAAAAACAAGGGTTCTTAATTGCTGAACCATCTCTCCAGCTCCAAAGTGTCTCTCTCTCTCTCTCTCTCTCTCTCTCTCTCTCTCTCTCTGTGTGTGTGTGTGTGTATGTGTATATGTGTGTGTATGTGTGTATAGTACAATGTGAGTCTGAGTATGTGCCGTGTGTGGATGCTCTTGAAGGTCAGGAGAGAGTGTCATATCCTGTGGAACTGGAGTTATGGGCAGTTCTGAACTGCCTAACATAGGTGCTAGAAACAGAACTTGGGTCCTTTGGAAGAGTAGCAAGCCCTCTTAACTGCTGAGCCATTTCTATATCACATCTACCTTGAGTTTTTTTTTTTTTTGGTTTGTTTTGTTTTGTTTTTCTAGACAGGGTTTCTCTGTGGCTTTGGAGCCTGTCCTGGAACTAGCTCTGTAGACCAGGCTGGTCTCGAACTCACAGAGATCTGCCTGCCTCTGCCTCCCGAGTGCTGGGATTAAAGGCGTGCACCACCATCGCCCGGTGAGTTGTTTTTTTTTTTTTAAGCACTGCCTTAGTTAGGGTTTTATTGCTGTAAAGAGACACCATGAACCTAGAAACTCTTTTTTTTTTTAAAGATTTATTTATTATATATACAACATTCTGCCTCCATGTATGCCCACACACCAGAAGACGTTGCCGGATCCCATTACAGATGGTTGTGAGCCACCATGTGGTTGCTGGGAATTGAACTCAGGACCTCTGGAAGAGCAGCCAGTGCTCTTAAGCATTGAGCCATCTCTCCATCCCCATGGCAACTCTTATAAAGGAAAACATTTAATTGGAGCTGGTTTACAGTTCAGAGGTATATCCATTGTCACCATAGTGGGAAGCATGGTGGCATGCAGACAGACATGGTGCTGAAGAAAGAGTTGAGAATTCTACGTCTTGATCCACAGGCAGCAGCGGGAAGAGACAGTGACACACTGGACCTGGCTGAGCTTCTGAGACCTCAAAGCCTACCCCCAGTGACACACTTCCTCCAACAAAGCCACACCCACTCCAACAAGGCCACACCTCCCGACGGTGCCAGTTCCTATGAGCCTATGGGCCGTTTTCACTCAAAC